GCAGTATAATTGTAAATTCAAACCGTTCGTTGGTCGTTTGGCGAGATATCGTTGCACGGTGTACTGATTAAATAATGAGATTGCATTTCGTCGTTTCGCAAAATGGAAATTTAACGTGATCTTATCGCGTTAAAATATTTCTATTAGAATTGCGCTTCTCGAATAGGTTGTATCCACAACCACAAATTATTCGCGTTTTAATGATCCGTTATTTTTTCATTGATGCAAGAGGATGCATCTCTAACTTTTCAAAAAACGCATATCCTAATTATCCTATCCTCTAAACCCTTTTGAAAAATAAACTGACTAATAATATAAGAAAATTAATAAGTTGAATAGAGAAGAATCGTATAATTATAACACGATGAGATAATCGATGATTCTCCATAAAAAAAGTCACTATTTTTCGATTATCTAAGTTAAAATTTTGAGAAAAATAGAACGGATAAATATTCTAGATAGAAGAAATTACGATATTTTGTATGCAGAATTACAAATAAATTCTCTCTGATTTCCTTACAAAAATATATTCTTCGATGCAAGTAATATCAAAGTTGGACAGGATGCAACGCGATATTGTTCACGCGTCATTCCTAATAGGATCGACATGAATGATCGACGTATTTATACCGATACTTTACAAATTTTTACCGTCGTCGGTGCCCTGTTTCTTTCAACGAAAATTACCTCGAGCAAAAACCGCCACGCGTTGATTCTTTCGAAAAGAACCCGTCGATGATAGATTACGGCTGATGGGCAATCGATTAAGATCGATATCCGATTCAAACGTCGTACTGTTTACCCTGAACATACGTATCGCTCTAATAATCGATCTCGAGAAAAATTGATTCTTAACAGCAAAATATCAGTGTCAGGAACGAGCGTTAAATTGTCAAAATTATAATAAACGTTTCAGACGGGAATAAAATATAATATAATAAAAATCAAATTCCCGCCATTTATATTTCCCTTTTAAACTAACGAATTATTAATAAGATCAAAAGTAGTAAATAATTCTAAAGATAATCCATAAAATCCATAGCAACAATAACGTAATTTAAGAAAAGTGATCCCCCCGCCCGGCCGATTCCTCGAGGCAATTCATCCTCAAAGTCGAGGATCTCGATCTTCAAATCGTGTACAATCCGCGTAGCCCCCCCTCCCTCCCCCGAAACTCGTCCTTAACCAACGCCACGACCGCAGGAACGGCGTGCTTCGCACCCAATCGGGCGATCACGATTCCCCGCGGCCCCCATAACCGCAAATCGTCTCGCGCGGGAAGGACGTGACCTCGAGGAAGCGGAGTACGGGCGCGTCCGTTGAGAAGGAAAAAGGAGGGTTACGGTGCACGCGACAGGGATGGAGAGAGACAGAGAGAGAGAGAGAGAGAGAGGACGAGTTCATGGCGAGGAAGCGACCAAGGGGAAGAAGGAGGGTTACAACTTGACGTAACTTGACCTTTGCTCGCATCCTCGCGATAGGGGTTCCTCGCAGGGGAGAGGGGGGCCACAGTAGCACCGGCCAATCCCATCTCTTCGCACCTTTCGCTCTGCAAACTCCGCGCTCTTTCCACTCCCTGCCCCTTCCCTGTATCGTCCCTCGATCTCTCTTTCTCTCCCCACGGGGGGACGTTTTTCCACGCTCCAACCTCGTTGCCCTCCGCAACCGTTGCCGGCTCGAGACGATCCACCCGGACCCGGCCAACGTTTTAACTTTACTGCCGTCACGTATAGGCCGTGGTTCCACGGCGTAGGAACACGGCTGTGGAACGATCATGTCTACAGAATGGTACGTACGTACGTACGGGGCTACCAGCGGAACGCCGCTCCACCAGGAGGAAGCTGCCTTACGGTTCCTAGCGGCGGACCGCGGC